ATTTGATCCTGCTTGGACTAAGGGAACAGCCTGGGTTGTTGGAATTTATCCTGCTTAGACTAAGCGACCAGCCTAGGTTTTTGGAATTTTATCCTGCTTAGACTAAGGGAACAGCCTGGGTTGTTGGAATTTAATCCTGCTTAGACTAAGGGAACAGCTGGGTTGTTGGAATTTGATCCAGCTTAGAATAAGGGAACAGCCCAGGTTGGAATTTGATCCTGCTTAGACTAAGGGAACGGCCTGGGTTGTTGGAATTTTTATCCTGCTTAGACTATGGAAACAGCCTAGCCTGGGTTCTTTGATATGGATCCTGCTTAGACTAAGGGAACAGCCTGGGTTGTTGGAATTTGATCCTGGTTGGACTAGGGGAACAGCATGGATTGTTGGAATTTGATCCTGCTTAGACTAAGCGAACAGCCTGTTTTTTTTGGAATTTGATCCTGCTTAAGAGAACAGCCTGGGTTGTTGTTGGAATTTTATCCTGCTTAGACCAAGGGAACAGCCTGGGTTGTTGGAATTTAATCCTGCTTGGACTAGGGGAACAGCCTGGGTTGTTGGAATTTGATCCTGCTTAGACTAAGGGAACAGCCTGGGTTGTTGGAATTTGATCCTGCTTGGACTAGGGGAACAGCAATCCTGGTCCAAGGGGTTATTTCGTGTCGTTTGAAGAGTTTGTTCTTGGTCTTTGTTCTCCAGGGTAAATGAACTCGGTGCGTTTTGTTTGTGTCTGACAAGTTCTGAGTCGCACGGAGTGTGTGGCTTTCGAGCTGCTAATTAGAGTGAATCTGGAGGCTAATCAGTGAACATGGATAGGATATGATAGGCTCGTCTATTTGACCGTTGGGTTCTTCGATGGCCTCCAACCTACTAGCGATGGCCTCCAGCCTGGTTTGAATAGGTTGACTCCTAGTAGCTTCTTGCTCCTAGTAGTAAGGCACTTGTTTCTAATAGCAAACATTGTTACTACTAGTAAGGCACCTGTTACTGCTAGCGTGGCACATGTTACTAGTAGCTTTCTTGTTAGTCACTAGAGTCCACCAACCTCTCAAACCTCGGGCGCCTCAAACCTGGAAATCGACCGTGGTGCCCGCGCGCGAGTCACACGCTGCGTTCAGGCTACCCAATGCCGTTGTGGTGAGGGCCCCGAGTGGGACACGACCCAGGTTGCAGTTCGTTGACCGCTACCAGGGCCCTTCTCTATCTTTTCTCGGGTGGGCGCTGGTCTTGAGCTTGTAGAATTTGGTGTTTCTTGGTCATGAGGAAGACTTAGCACCACATCTTCTTTTTGAAGGAAAGATCAGCTGTGACTCGTTGGTGCTTTCACCAAGGAAGCGACAGGCGCCGCCCTGCGTGTCGGTCAAGGGATTCGATTGAACGAGTGGTGATGTTTGCGTTCCAAGGAGGTGTCCAAGATTACCCTTTTGCTTCTTTTGTTTTGTCTTTTCTTGCTCTTTACTTCAACTCAATTTTCTTTGCTGCTTGGCTTCTTTTCTTTGCTTGCTTCCTCTGTCGGACCACCACTACTGTAAGTAGCAAGTCAACCACAAGGAGGCAAAAGAGCAAGCTAGCATCTCAAAAGCAAGCAAGCAAGCAAGCAAGCAAGCAAGCAAGCAAGCAAGCAAG